GCGAAAAGTAAATATTTCTAATCTGCTATGTCTGTCCACTATATTTGTCAATGGGAAGGACCGGACTATTTGGTACCAAGCGAGGTTTTAGGCAATGTGACTTCCTTTCATGAACTTCTTTAACCTAATAGTATAGAACTGAATATACAAGGATAATTGGACTCAATAACGGCGCCTTAGGTTCGGTTTTAGTGAGTTAGTTAGTGAGTCTAGTGAATGAGGACAAGACGAAATATTTCCTGTAATCAAACAAACAGTCAGCGCAATCGTATCTTACCTCCAACGTCAATGTGGGCAGTCAAAACTTCGAAGACGTAGATACAATAATTTTGTAACCAATTTGTAACCAAGACAATTAACACCAGTAACAATTTCTACCTGAAAATCCAACGCAGAATTGCTCTTGCGAACATGTGTCAGTTTGGACTTAGCAGGCAATTGAAAAAGAAAGTCTTCCCTTTATAAACAAAACCAAGCTCCTCAAGTCATATCATCTCATCATTTCCGTCCTATTTTATTGTGCAGAATCATGGACATTGACAATATCCGAAGAGTGGGGCTTTGGGGCTGTTCAAGAGAAAAGTTTTGCGAATGATTATGGGTAACTACGTAAGAGCGACGGCGAATGTAAGCAATTCAATGATGAGCTGTATGAGATATACGACGACATTGTTAAAGTTCAACGAATTAAAATGCAGCGGCTAAGCCATATCATCCAGTTTGACGGCAACATTCCAGCTTTGAAAATATTCGATGCAGTACCGTCTAAGGCAGAAGAATCCGGTGGAGAACGACCTGGCTTCAATTGGTATATCCGATTGACTCTGAGCAGTTAAAAGAAGAAACAATTAATGCGCTCATATCGACTATGTTATATTTGCATTATTATACAGGCCTACGCCCAAGAAGCAGAAGTACAATATAAGTTCCATATGCTTACATCCTATATTATTATATTTTGTAAACTGTTTCGGTGCCGTCCCTACACGATTCCAATTAAACTTAAGTGACGAAAACTTAAAGCATATCCTTGCTTAAACCGGCTGCTATTATAAGCAAATCGTTTTTGGAAAAAAGATTTGAATGCTTAAAGCCAACTCATTTTTACGGTCACGAAAAAAACTTATTCACTTAACTCTCCCACTCCCGCTTATGACATACACACATATATACAAGTAATTCACTCGTCACAAATGCATGACAAGCACGCAACATCCCGTCACTTTTGACCAACAAAAAGTCAATAGAAATGTTATGACAACCTTCAACCATACAAACCGTTAAAATTATGACATTTGACGAAACCAAGAAATAAATAAAATACAAAAATATAGATTAAGCGATAGAAGAAAATAAATGTACAATAATAAAAATCAAAAAAATAAATAAACGCAGCCGCAACATTAACCAAACGAAACGAGAAAAATCACTGTCATGATATGTGAGCACGCAATGTGCTACCATAGACAACTGCAACAACAACAACATTGCCAGAATTACATTTTGTGCTCGTAATGCAACATACTAACATAACAATCAGATGATTCTATCAGTGGCGGTATTGAATGTGTGTGGGAAACAATTAATTACTTGAAGTGAAATATTGGAAATATTTTTAGTTGAAAAATTATTATTAATGACTGTTATTGAATGTTAATCGATCGCCTCTTGACTACTATCTCTATTGGCATAATTGACAGCTGACGATTTTTGCGAATTTGACGTTTGACCACAAACGGCGACTGTGGTTGCTATTGATATCGATCTTCATTGAGGATTGGTGGTGACGGCAAGAATTTATCGCGTGCAAGAATTTATGGGTAGGTTCTGGGTAAACGGGTATACGAATATGCAATACATATGTATGTACGCGTGTTAAGAAACTGAAACAGCTACTCTTATATATTTTGGGACATTTTCCATATGAACTCTAATGCAAACTTTTTCACGTAAAGTGAGTGAAAGTTATACGCTTAGAGTCAACATTTAGTAAGAATTCTTAATTTTGAGGTTCTCTTCCGTGTTATTAACAAGATGATTGTAACATTGTATCGTATATAAAGTCCTATCGAGCGTATTCTATAAAAGACTACAGCACACCGTCAATCAACTATTGACCAGGTCTTGGTAAAGACCCGTGAAAAGAGGAGACACCACCTTTTCGTCGATTTTAAAGCAGCCTTCAACAGCACGGATATGAACTGCCTCTATGAAGTGTAGTAAAAAGAAACCCATTATTATTGCATAAAATTAAATGGTTTAATTTTTTATTCAAACGGTTCTAGTCTTTTGTGAAACCTTTAGCTTTTGGGCTCTACTAGTAGTCGTGTTCATCTGTGGCTATTTTCAATTCAAAAGTACTGTTATTTCGCGCCGTTTTCAGCAGATGTCATTTGTTTTGGCGTGAACACCAATTTGTTTCATTCATTTGGAAATGTCGAAATTTGTACCAGATAAAGTGTTTCTGCGGGGAGTTCTTCTTCATTACTTTAACATGAAGAAAAGTACTACCGAAAGCCATCGTATTTTACTAGACCTTTATGGTGCTCACACTTTAGCCAAACGAACGTGCCATAAGTTCTAATAATTAATTTAAACAATTAATTGCCCTTCGACCTCTTGCAACCGTCCATTTCTTCTGGTCATTTTACAACATTTAAATGCTTTTTGTAATCAATCCACATTTCATTTAAAAGCTTAGACTTTCAACCTTGACTTAGAAAACTTAATTTGTACAGGTCCTCAAATTTAGGCTAGAGCTAATCTGTAGCGTAAAGCTTTTAATTCAAAATAAAATTTTCTTATCTCAAAATCTAATAAATAATAAAAGTAATAAGCCATAACTCTCTTTACTCTGCACACACACTCACCCTGTCACCCTGATTTTCTTCAGCTTAAGTCAAACATTTTCCATAATTTTCATATTAAGAAGCCATAAATTCATTAAAAACATTTAAGAAAACCATATTTATGTAAATACATTTGTGTGTATGTGTGTACTTAATTTTTTATTTATGTATAGAAATATGAATAAAATATTTTAAATCGTTGAAAAAGAGGCGCGTGCTAAGAAATTCCAAAAAAGCCCATTGCAACTACCCACCAAAATAAATGCTTAACATGGAAGAAGAGCACATAAATAACACGGTCAACAACAAAGCTAGCGTTCAAAGTCTTTTAATTCTCAGCAACGGTTTTTAAATTTTACGATCGTTTTTAAGTGAGTCTGCGTTGGTCATAAACCATCCAAGAATTGGGAATGTGAGAAAAAAATAAAAACTAAAAGCTGTTGGATCAAAGAGAGGACCACATACGAATAAGGGTGAAGCAGAAGCAAATCGGACTTGTGCTGGCTGTTGGTTGTTGGTTGACGACGGGAAGCCTGATCGACAGATCGGCAAGTGTCAGAAATGCTATTAAAAAATTAAAGAGAGAGACGTGGAATATAGAGTACTTCAAATTCAGCACTCAATATTAAACAATTAAAGCAATTAAACTCATATCTAGTCGAGGGAAAAGTACTTAGAAGGGCGACACAAAACCAAATTGTGCTACTTCTTTCAGTGTAATTAACTTTGATAAGAAACTAACTTCGAAGTTGGCAATACTTGATATGTGGGTGAAGCTTATTGTGGTTGCGGTCTTGAGTTCGTTTAAGTAAAGTGATTTCTGAGAATTTTCAATTGGGTAAGCTGCCATTGCGATTGCCTAACACTTTCTTTTATTATTATTCTTTCGTTACTATTTTTTTTTTTTTATTTAACGACTCATTTTATAATTCTTCAGTTCTTTTCCTATTTGTTATTAATAGTTTTTTTCTTCAAGATGTATACAATGATTTATGAGCGCACGTTGCGTGTCACGATCGGGGTGTGTATAGCCCATAATTAATAAATTATGTATTTATTCTATCACATTTGCTGATATATGAACATGTACATGTTTCGAGGAAATATATGAGTATTAAGCGAGTACACACCACCACGTTTATAGAATAATCATAAAGATTGTGGAAATTTAGTCATAAAATGTTCAAAATCCATTGTGACATAAGAAAAGCTCGACAATTTGCCAAAGACAAGACATGTCGCTGGAATTTTTGGGTTTGTTATTGAGCACAAAAACAAATATACAAGTGTTTTTGCGATTTTTTTAAGTAGTAAGTTGGAAATTTCGATTGGAACAGCTGCTACACATAATGTCTTAAATTAATTACGAGGTGTGGAAGAACTTTTCGATTTCCTTTCATGAGAATGGTCTTTGAAA